TGTCCGAGTCTCTGTGTTCTTTGTCGTGTTGGCTGTCTTTCCTTGTGAGTTTTACTTTTGGATTATTTGTTCCTGACCTGCTGTTTGTTTTTGAGTTTTACTCCTCGTCTCGAGATTTCTGCAGTTTTGGTCTTAGTGGACATTATCAATGTTACACACAAAGTATTATATTTGTGCCAGTGTCAGTAACAATTCATAAATGTTTGTGAAAGTTTGTGTTTTTCCTATTTTTTTAAATATACGTCTAATATGCACACACTTACAAAAACATAAACCCTAAATGGGCGAGGAACCAAATATGGTGCCTAAATCAAATGAAACATTTAGAAAAAGGTCACAGGGGTAAAGTGCTGCTCCCGTAATAATTTAGAATTTGCATGTATTTTAATGAGTGACCTATAAACGCTTAACTTGTATATTCCACAGTTGCTTTCGTCTGCACGTCGCAGCACGGTGACACATTTCTCAGTCCAGCGCTAAAATGGTTTGTAGACCTCATTGTTGTTGTTTGCAGTCATCACTCATGGTGAGCACTGTGTCAGCCTTTCCAGTAACCCCCCCACCCCCCCCACCCCCGAATTCTTAAACCTTGAGTTGACTTAATCAGCTCAAGATTTATGGTTAGACTCAGACTTTGTTGAACCTGGTTCAAGTATTGTATTGAGTATGTGTAGAGTCAGTGTGTGCTTGATCATTGTGTCCAAGTTTAGACGAGTTTGAAAACTGGTTTATAGACACATTTGTGGGGAATGATGTGTGGGGGAGTCTGGAAAGAGTGTAACTGCTATGGAAATGCCCATCTTATTATAATCTATAAGAAAATATTTAGACAGAACATCACTGCGGTAGTGACTCTGTGAGTACTCATGTGGTCCCTCAACGCTGACTCCAGGTTGGCTGGAGATCAGTTAGCGTGGTTGTTGTGTCAGTTTGGATGGATACGTACTGGGTGGATACAAAAAGGCTGAGTGCAGCTTTCCAGCAGGAGTATACTGATCACATCTGGGACTCTGAGACGCTGAAATTCTCACATCAGCCCGAAAACAATCTGGTGTGACTGGAGGCAACGGGTCCAGGTTATTCTACAAGAATATGAAACATGCTTTAGTCATTTTCAAATATTTCTGCCAAAGGAAAAATAGAAATCACGTCTAAAAACTGGTTATCACAAACACTTTGCTGCTTCAGTCTTTTATAGCAAACCAAGCTCAGGGAGTACAACCACAAAGTGACCCACAGCTCTATTTGAGGAACATGTATTTTCCATTTATGTAAATTGTGAGGGTTTTACTTTGCCAGTTTTTTGACTTGTGCATGCTAGGTTTCACACAGAAGGAGCAGAGCCTCTTCAAGACATGTCGAGGAGCTAATTTAGCCGTTTAAATCAGCTGTGTTGGCTCAAGGACACGTCTAAGACCTGCAGGACACCGGCTCTCGAGGCCTGGAGTTTCTCACTGTCACGGCGGGGTGCGCCGGTGTGAAGAAGAGGTAAACCCAGATGCAGACACGGTGGAGACAGAACTAGGTTTCCAAAAATAAAGCAAGCCTTTATTGTGGATGATGGCGTGACAAAAACACTGGAGAACACTGAAACTGGGAAACTAAGGAGACTAAGAACACTGTGTAACCTAAAAAGACTCTGTGAAAGAACTATGAAGAAACTATGAACACAGAGTAACTAGGCAGGCTATGAAACAGTGACACAATAACGGAAATTATGAAAAGATGAGG